GTGGTGCTCTGAATCAAAAAATTATGAATCAACGAGATACTATTGTTATGCATGATTATCATGCAAATAAAACTGTGTGTAATGAAGCTCATAAAACTCTTCAGTTGTTTTTAAACACTTTATCATCAAATTTGAAAGTTTTACAGTTTAAGGTATGTTGAACATTTGTTATTAAACAGTTATTTAAAAAATATTTTAACTTATGTTTTTTTTAGATTTTTCAAAGTACAATCATGGGTTTGCTATTAGAAATTATTAAATGCCAACGACCAAATGATTATCCACTACCATACTATGATGATTTGTGTCGTCTTAACTTATACAAGTCATTGTTAGCTATGATTATTTCACCACATCCACAATGCATTACACATACATCTGTAGCATTGCGTGTTTTTACTTTTGGTACAACTGATCGTAATGAAAAAGTAAGTTACCATTAGGCAATTTTAAATTTTATATTAGTAGATATAGCTGATTTTTATAGCATAACTAAACATTATTTCATTGTTATGCAGATAAAAGAAGTTTGTAGATCATCATTAAGTGAGCTTGAACATATTATCCGTCCACGTAATGATACATTATTTTTCCCTCTTGAAAATGAAATAGAAATTCCACCATGTGCTCAAAATACTATACCAGAAAACAAAACTCATTTTTTAAATGAAACAATTGAAGATTTGACTATACCTATTCAAATAAATGAATTTAAAAATGTTAATACTGAAAATGTTCAGCCAAATGAAATCCTACAACCCACTCAAAATATTGTATCAGAAAACAAAATTCATGTTCTAAATGAAATTGTTAAAGATTCCACTACACCCATTAAAGCTAAAGAATCAAAAATTATTAATAATGAAAATGTTCAACCAAATACAATTTCACAATTAGCTCAGAATACTATCCCAGAAAACAAAACTATTTGTTCAAATAAAATAGTTGAAGACTCAACTTTATCTGTTGATACAAAAGAATTAAACAACTTAAATACTAAACATAATATTCAATCAAATACAGTAATAGAATCTATGGATGCTGATAACAGTATGGATTCAAGCACAAGTAATGAATCACCAATAAAAAATGTTCCGGAGGAGGAAAATTATACAGATATGTTGAATGATTTTATAGACAGTGATTAAAAATGTAAACATAACTTTTATGGGACTCAAATAAATTTAAAATATCTAATATAATATTTTATACTTCGTATTTGACTAAAATTTAAATAAATATAATTTATAAATAATCATTTACATTTTTTAATTAAACGATTAATGTAGTTTTGGTGATTTGGAACCTTCTATAACTCAATTTATTTTCCAATTTTATTATTAGAATTTAAATTTTCAACAAAAATTATAAATTTATTCGAGGTATATTTATATCTATCAATATAAATTCAATAATTTTATGATAATCACTAAAATCTTATAACTTGTCCATTCAGTTTATGTTCAGATTGTGTTTTCTAAAAATATTTAGTTTGATGTACTCTTGTATTTTATATTTTTACAATTTGAATTTTGGCATTTTCAATTTTGTATTTGAAATAATTTAATTTCAATGTTTTATTACATAATCAAACAGTGCATGGTCTTGTGTGTTATTTATGACACAATGTACGTAATAATTAAAAGTGGTACCCACAATGTTTTGTTCATAAATTATAGATCTTAACTTATAGATACCTCGTGGTTTTTTAATAACGTGATTTTCTATAATTATTAAGTAAATAGGTACTGACAATACTAAACTATAAGAAAATAATTTATAAATATTTACTTTTTAATAAAAATTTAAAATACTTGTTGATTTTTTTATTGAACAACGCTCATTATTTAAATATTTATTTACTTTCTTTTGCATAATTTTTGGTTGAAATAAAAAAACATGTTTTTAAAATATATTTACTCTTAAAGATTTTAATATTATTTTGATTATACCTTGAAAGAGGTTTACATTTTTGAATGTTATTAAATTTTTTTTTTTTACTTATCTTTTTTTTAATAAAACATACACTGTTTGATTTCATATTCTGTAAGTTTATAACTTAGTGGAGTAATAAATTATTTTTTGCATATCCCAATGGGCTCGATGTCGTTCAACTCTACTAATATTGGTAAACCTTTAATGGGTACTTTTAAAATTAAAACTAAATAACTTTATTGACTACAAATTTGAAGTTCAGTTTGTGTAAATATAAGTAGACAGGTTCGTACACATTTTTTTTCTGGAGTGGGGTTAAGTTTGTTCATTTTCATACTTATATATAGTTAGAAATGTTGATAGTTGTAATTAATTATACTATTAAAATATAATTCCTAGGAAATTATTATAGCAATATCATCTAAGTAGTTGTGATATGTAAAGTATGATAAATTATTTTCCTAACCTCAAGTTAAAATCCTTGTTATTATATAAATTATGTAGCTATGAGTATACGACATACGTATAGCTTATATAGTTATAATAGTTATATTATACCTTTTATGTTTTATCATTTACTTCGTCTATGAATTTTAAAAATTACGTTTAGTGGTTATCTAGTATAGATTAGTAGTTAAACGTGCTACATCCCACTACCGACACAACCTCTATTACTTATACTGATTTTAACGAAATACTGTGAAATAAATTTTAAATACAAAATAGCCAATAGGTATTAGGTACCTACTTACTTTAATTTTGTTATTAATATCATTGATGATTGGTTATAAATACTACAGTATTTATTATCAATGGTTATATTTATCTTTAAATATATATTTCACTTTTACAGTTTGTAAAACATATATGATTAGCTTAAAATTTTAATAGTTTATCTACTTATTTATAAATTATTAACTGTGCTACAACAAATGCCATATTAACGAACAATTCAATAATTAAAAATATTTGCTTAAATATACTTTTAGTACAAAAAAAAGAGAGAAAATAACTGGTAACTGCTTTGTCGTTAAGTAGGTATATACCTATATAGATGTCAAGCACTAAACTGTACTTTTTCGTTGAGTAAGTTACTTTAATGTAAGTGTTGAATTTGAATGCGATTAAAAATCATTTCGTCAAAAAAACGATTTTGAGCAAAGACAATTTACTCAGTTTATATTAATATATTAATTATATATTTGATATATTTAGATTGCCATTAAAGTAATTTATTTTACTATAGAAGGTTGAATAAATTGTTAGCAAAAATATTACATTTGAAAATGGTAATTTTTTATTTTTCACTTCCCGAAATCACGACTTGATCCAACTTCCTAGCAGAAACCACCTCTACAATTTAAAATCAAAACATTTTTACTATTGTAAAAAGTGTCAAGGCACAAAAAAAAACACATTGTATAATCAATATAATATATTCATTGCTCCAATCAGAATCCAATAATATTTACCTTTACCTACTTGGCTATTTACTTACATCAATAGACAATAATAGTTCGACTTTATAATGAGTTTAGAAATTAAGTAAAATAATATATATTTTTTAGGTTTTGTGAAATTATAAAATATATTTGTTTTTATAGTAATTACTCAAACAATTAATCTATATTATAATATATACCTACGGGCTACGATAACCTATAGAGCTGTAAACTAACTATAGTAAACTTTCTAATACGTTATACGTTTAATATATATATAAGTATAAATAAGGAATTAAATATATTTTCAATTTAAAAATAAAATATATTATAATGTATTGCATATTAAAAGTTAAATAGGTAGTACGTTCAACAAATACTTTAGTATATTAAACTAAGTATTTTTACAGTGTAACTTATAGCTGTATAATCTATATTATTATACCTACCAAAACATTATACATTGTATTGTAATAGCACATTAGTCCGCATATATTTTAAATGAATACCTAAATAATTCTTGCTATAATAATGATTTTCAATTTTTCGTTTACAATAGTTATCTACTAACTACCTATACCTACTTAATATTTATATAATAATAATATGTAAGCTATCATTATGTTATGATTTATGAATTACCTATGGGTAAACAGTAAAATTATTTTTTTTTTAGTTTTATAATAAATAAATATTAAGCGTACCTAATGCCTATACCCGTGCATAAATAATTGTAAAAAATGTTTAAGTCCCGAACATTTTTTATCATACAACTAATAATTTACATCAGTAAAATACGTTAACATTTAAATAAAATATAATCGAAGAACCAGGTTCATTATCTTACTGTAAGAAATGTTGATTTTTATTTTATATTCTGCACTACTAAAGGTTAGTTTTTTAGATGTTCTTTTTTTTGTAATCGAAATTTTTTTTTTAGTGTTAGTCATTCAGTATTGCGTGTAGTGTATGTACATTTAGACTATTTAATTATTATACAATTGATTTATCAACTATGAGGTGTTTACTGTCTAAGTCTGTCTAGACTCTAGACAAACTGTATTACTGTGTAATGTGAATATATTTCAGATCAATATGTTTTCCAATTTTATTTCATTATATTTAATGCCTATTATTTGTTTTTAAATATTCAAATATAAATTATTATTATGTATAAGTGACTAATCAATATGAGTGATTAAAATAACAATAAACCTTTGGCCGAATTGGCCGATAAATATTGATTGCGATTTACGAGGAAAGATAATCGTATGCATTGTATTATTGTAATAGGTATTGTAAGCGGTTTGTCATATTAAATATTAACAAATAAAAGCTATGATATTAGGTCTATTATGCAGAAAACCGTCATTCGACCATTTCATTCGAAGTCATTATACTGTTTGATAATTATTTTATATTAATTATACCCAGATTGTTTATTCTGATTTATTGGCTTCTAGCAATCTTGCTCTTAATGCTCTTATTATTATTATTTCATTTATAAGTTAACCAAAACGATAAGAATGAAATAATTAAATCTTTAAACTCGTGTGGATTGTACAAAATAAAACAGAACCGTTGGCGGGGGAGAATTAATAATAATAACATGTCTAATGTCGATAAGATAATAACAGCTATTTAGTGGCGCATCGTTGACCGTAGTGTGTATTCGTTAATTTAGTTTTTAAATTTATTTCCATAAGTTCATCAACCGTCGAACATCAGCTGAGAGTTGTCGATAATATATTACATAAATTATAAAAAATACTAAATAGTAAATAGTGTAATATAGTTTTAGTAACCGTTGTCCGTTGCGTTTGTGTCGTAGTCATTTAAATACATTTATAATGTACGACCTATGTTACCAGTTTTGTGTAAAATATTTTCAAGTCAACTTATTTTTGGAAATACAATGATTTAAGTATCTACCGGCTTACACCTACACAATACATAAATCATTGTATTATTATTTTTCTATTGTTAATAAAACCGATTTTAAATTAATCAAAATAATATTTATATATTACATATATTTCCACTTATTTACCTACCTATTTTTAAGTTTATTGTTTGAACTTTAAATCTATCAAGTGACTAATAACATGGAATCGCCATCTGTGATATTGGAGACGAACAAACGCTATTTCGTTGAAGACAAATTTCTGATTGTTAACTGTTTCTATGATCAAAAGGTTAGTATTTAATAATTACTGATGAAATTATAAGTATAATAATATGATGTAAATGTACTGCTTATATTATTAATGTTAATTAATTATTGTTATTTACCTATGTTTAGAGAATTAGACCATTTCTTAAAGATTGGATTGGACTATATCCATGTGATAATATTAAACTATACGAGCCATTAATATTTGAATATGTTATGGACCATCCAAAGATAGATGGTGGTAGCTGTTTTAAAATTAAATTTATACCAAAACTCTTTGCTAAGTCCATTCATTGTTCTGGTAAATACCAGTTTGTCTATGTGGATTCTTATTTTAAGGTAAAAACCTAAACTTATGTTTACTAATTTTGTTTTAGGATATTTTAAATTTATTTCACTTAACACCTTTCAAATGTTTATTATATGGAATCTATTAATAATAATCATGAATTTAAATATTATATAATTATACTATATTATTATGGTCATACCTATTTTATTTTATAAAAACTACAAATAAGAAAATGTATATATATTATAATAATTTGCTAATCAAAAAAAATTTTAAAGCAATTTGAACCATGGTAATTAAAGTATTAATACTAGTATTTAAAATATTTAAATTCATAATAATTGGTTTGAAAAAAACAAACCAAAGATAAAATTACTATAAATATACTAGGAATCATAGTTTAAAATATTTATAGATATTATAAATCCTGTTAGTAATAAAAAATTTTTTGTAATTTTAATTATTTTATCATTCCCTAGACTCTAAAAAAATTGTGATTTATAAAAATAAAAATATTTATAGTAGTAATCAGTTTTAGATTTTAATTGAACACAATTTATATTATTTTAATTGAAATATATAAATTTAATTCAATAGGTTTAAATAATTTATGTTTTATTTTTGATAAGCTACTAAAAATAATGAACATTTTTAATATATTACTAGTTTAAAAATAGGTATTAAATTTAAACTATTTTACAAATAATAAGTACAAATTATTGTATTAAAATTACCTTAACCGTGACAAATATATGTTTTAATAAACAATATTGTTACTTATTGTAGTTGATAAAATTTAAGTCAATTTTAAAAATCAGAATTTAGTGCTATTACTTTTTAGACTTTTATACTTATACTAATTATTTTTGTTTGTTAAAAGAACAGATTTCATATGTAATTTGGTAAAATGTTATATGTACATTATTATATTTATAATTGTAATATAATCTTAAATTTTTTGGTTTTATTGTCATAGTTTTTAAAGTAATTTTAATTTACAGATTATTGCAACTAGTGATCCAATTGAATTTGTGCATAAAAACGATTGTAACTGTAATAATTCTCTTTGTCGATCAAATTGTATGGTACACATAAAAATAGGACAGGTTAGTTAGACAATTTACATATAATTCAAATTTAAGGCTATATAAGCATTATGTATAAATCATAATAAATATAATGCTCTTACCAGGATAATGTAAGTTGGTCAAGAACTTGCTGGAAAAGTAATTAGATTTTTTTTTTTGCAACCATAAGCAACATTTTTCTTAAAATTATTGTTATAATGTATGAATATTTATGTTATTTCTCTAAACTATCATATTCTATCAATTTGTTCATAAAGTTTATGATTTATCTAGTTTAAAATTAGAGTATAAAATTATTTTTACATAATCTCCAGTAAATATTCAAAGTTTGATATGGAATTTTTAAAAAAAATTGTAATGAGAAGGGTTTGTACTTGACAAAAACAAGTCTTAGCAAATTTATTTATGAATATATAATTATTTGTGACAAATGATTTTTTTATAAATAATATATTTTTTATTTGATTAGGATATTAATTTAGTAGTTCAACGTTTAAAGTGTCTTGAAGCACGATTACTAGAGTTTGAAAAAGGTAAACAAGATGCAATGCAACTTAATGAACAACTTGTTAAAAAATTGAAAGCATGTGAAATGCTTCGATCTAGAGGTGAACAATTTATTGATGGCCTTTATAATGCACTTGATCAAGGAAAACCAGTAAAGCTAACAAATTCTAAAGGGCATGCAGTAAGATTTTTTAAATAATTCTCTAAAATTTATTATACTACTGAACTATTAATTTATGAAATATATATTAACTATATAGCTGTTATTAATCTTGTATAGTTGAATTTAGTATGTTCATAAAGTAATAATGTTTAAACAAATAATTGTAGCGTTGGGTCAAACGTATGCGAACTACTGAAATAAGAAACCATGTTATATCTACAAAAACAGTCAGAAATGATGTATATTTAACAGCAATTATAAATACTCAAGAGCAAGAAATACAGAGATTACGTGCCATTAACAATGAGCTTAGTAATGCATATTATTTAAAGTATTATGTAAGTTTTTGTTAATTATACTTGTTAATATTTATAAATAGTACATTTAACTTAATCTAATGTCCAATATAGAAGCAACCAGAGCAAATTTATAAATCACAGAATACTGAAAATGATAATACAGAAGATGTCATACAATTAAAACCTTTTAATATTGAGTCAATTTCTTCTGAAGTAGTCAAATTTATTGATGACTCAGAGTTCAGTGATGACTACTGCGAATAAATATTCTAGCCGCCTACACATTTTGTCTGTTTATATATTTTTTTAATCGACTTATTTGTTATTATTCCTGTTATTGATTTTATATTTTAGTGCAAATACAGTATTATTATTGCTATATTTTTTTGTTTATTACAAATGACAGTAGTTATACATAAATAAGTTATTGCAACATTATTTATTAAGTTAGGCAATTAATAATTGCTTATCTTAATCAAGAATTAATTAGTATTTAAAAATCACTAAACAGTACCATATATTCACTTAATGCTATTATGTGCCTAAGCATATTGTGGTTTTGGTACCCACTCAAGTCCAATTAATACCAGTTATACCAGTGATGATGATTAATAGACACACATACACAGCTTGAGAGCCAATGGAATATTTTAATCGGGGTTCCTTAAATACGGCTAAGTTGAGAAGGCTTACCCTCTTATGGCATAAAAAACCAAAAAATTAAGGTATTATTTTTAAAAAAAAGCATAATAGTAAAATAATTAATTATTATCATAAGTGTAATTTTTTTTTTTAGATTCTAGCATCATTATTTCATAAGCTAATTTCTAATTTTTATGTTTAACTGTGTCATCGCTATCCAATCTCTACAGGTAATCCTCCTTGGACCACCAACTTTTATGCTATATAGGCTGTAGTTTAAAAAGTAAATTTTTTTTTGCAGACGAGTCTCCAAATTTGAACTAGCCCCTAGAGTACAGTTGGCTGACCAATTTACTCTAAGACCAGTAAGACCTATTAATAAATAATGGATTTACCATTTACATTATTAGTGACTGAATACTACACTCACTTAGCTTTCAATTATTGTTTTTCTACATTTAATGTGCAACAGACCTTCAAATCGTTGAAATCAAGTACCAACATCATAAAACAAAAATCTTACTCCATAGAAAATTTTCAAATTTCAATTACACTCTTTCAATTGTTGTACAATCATGACTAAATTCTAAATTGATCTAATAGCATTGATTAAATATATGTAAACTTAACAAATCAATATTATTAGTCATAGAAAAAAATATAAAATGCGTAATGCAGTGCTATATAAGCGAGTATAATTTCTAATGTGGTCAAGTTAACAGTAAACATAAATTTGCTAATTCATGCTTGCCAGAACTTAATACTTTTATAATTTACGACTTATTATTTATTATTTAAAAATTTCAAATATGACAGTGACAATTTATGGCAAAAAAATAATAAATACTAATTAGTAATTAGTAAATAATGCGAGGGTACCGAGGTAATAGCCGATAGGTATAAAAACATTAAAAACATCATTAAATAGTAAATACTGAAATAGTGCTAAAATAAAAAAAAGTAATAGAAAGTTAAAACATAACCTAAAATTAATTAACTTCTAGTTTTAATTTTATCATAGTGAAAAACTGAAAACACTGAAAACTGAATCAACTGACTAAAGCCACTGAAGGTGGAAAGACTGACTATTTTTTTTTTTTTATAGGTACCACAGATATATATCTGTGATAGGTACCTATTGACTATTGACTAATGATTGGACAGGTGAGTGATTATTAGTGACAAATGACAATATAGTATTTGACATAGAGATAGCTGATAGACACAATTCCATGATTCCATAAATAGCATAAATAAATAATCATTTTACTTGTGAGTTGTAGGTTATAACGTTATGAGTATTTACTATTTAATATTTAGTATTTAGCTGACTACAGTTGTCTACATTTTATTATCTAGTATCTATTGAACGTTTTTTTAATGGTTTGAACTCTTAAAAATTATTACCTAGTTAATAATTATACGCTAATATCCATACAATCCAATTATTTAATGACAGAATGTCGATCCAAATTCTAAAAATATTTTGTTGTAATTAGTGCACGTTTTGAGTAATTTCCAATTAAAATCCATGCCACAATTAGTACACCTGCAGTGTTTATTATTATATGTGGCTAAAGCGCTAGAGACGGTTTTGTTGAATGCTTTTTTTTGTTAGTAATTTTTTCGCGAATTTATTACTTTGGAATTTGGTCTACTGTTTTTTTTTCTAAGTACCTACCTATATTGTTTGTCAACAATTCAAGATTTTGCTACTTTTAGGTGAGTAAAATTTATTCTCAACTCTAATTAATGTTGCATGCATGTGTGTGTGTGCTATTATTCTTAAGTATAATATAGTGTTCAGATGTTATATACTTGAATTACCTATAGATCCAAGATCTAATTTAGAATATTACTATTAAAAAAATAAATACATAAATAGAAACATCTCTACTATGCATTATTTAAAATATAACTAAAATAACAATTTAATTTGTAGTTATAATCACATTGTAAGTCAAATTTTGGTTTTTTAGTTGATGTGGTTCAATATTAATTTTAAGCACTATAATAATTTTGTTTTATTTATGATTGTACACTATATTGATAAAAATCAATAGGTATCTAAGACCATAGTTACAAAATCTAATTATTTCAAGTCTTACTAATGTGACTATAATTGTATAAAATGATTAATATGATCACAACATACTACAGGTATTAAATTTTAGTTCTATTTTTTTCCTTTGAATAGTTTTAGAAGTATATTTGATTATCTTATTAAAATATGTATTAAGTCTTAAATATTTAGATGTTAAAATGTATGTTTATTATAGATATTAATTAAAAGGATGTCCTACTTGCATGTGCTGTTTTTATGTTACTAATATACACCGTAACAAATTTAAGTTCAGCAGAATCAATATTATGCTGTTTACTTTAATAGTAGAGTAATTACTTATTCAACTTAAAAGTAAGAGTATTATCTAGGCCATCATATAGGATTTTATTGATATTTTAATTTTAAACTGAGTTATGTTCATTATTCAAATTTTGAAATGCTCATAACTTACTTTAATATGTAAATATCAATAAAGGCTTACGTAATGTAATGTTTAATATTCTTACCTTGAAACTCGTTAATAGATCAATTGACATTAAAGCTATAAAAGTATAAAATGGATTCTGCTGAATGCAACTGTGTTATATTGTATATTGTTATAACTAAGACAACACATGCAGGTTTGAATTATTGTGAGTGTCTTGATCATACCACAACTAATGATAGGCTAAATATATTAAAATTATCTTTTAAAACCAATATAACTTCTGTGATTATATTTTTATTATTTTGAAAATGTTAAATTCTACTTAAGAAAATTAATATATATTAAGTAAAGAATCCCCACTGTATCTATAGTCAATCACTGGTCCATACATGGTTGGCGTATAGACGTATAGTCATTGTACTGTTTGGGCCTGTTTCACTGTCTGAGACTGTAGAAGATTGTTTACATTTAGTTTATTGATTAAATGAATAATTTAGTGTGTAATACAATTATAAATAGGTACATTTTAATAATTTTTGATTTTAATATTTAAATGTTAACTTGTTTGTTTTACAATCTGGATTATCATATAATTACAGAAAAAAAAAATTATCTTAGAGGTTCATAAGTTAACATCATTAGTTTATGTTTATCAAATAAAATCAATTTTTTGTTTTGCATTTTTATTATGTTATATTGTATCTAATGATTAATGAAGTACTAATTTAAATGATTAAACATGTGTAAGTGATAAATAGAGATCCCATACAATTATTCAATAATTTTATCTGTACTCAATGAATTGTGTTTTAATCAGTCATAACTGTAAAAATATTTATAATAATTATAAAGGTAGATATTACGTACTCTCAGCATAACCAAATACTAAGTAAAAATTATTATAGATAATAAAAAATTGATTGTTGTACTTTATTTATTTGTTATAAAAAGTGAAAACCAGTTTTTAATTTAAATTTTTAAAACGAAAATTGTAAGTTATATATAAAAAGTCGTTTAATATCTTTCTATTACCAATAATTTATAAAGAGACAACTGTAGAACACACTTAAGTATTAAAATATAATCAAATAATATAATATGTTAGTATTCAAATTTAACACTTTTACCTATCTATATCCCTTTATATTTATTATTTTTTTGTTATTAGTAAACTACTTTTATTAATTGGTACTAAATATCACATTTTAAAAAGAATTTTTAATTTTAGATACAAATTACTTATGTAAAGTTTTCAATGCTTTATATTTTTTTAATACTGTTAAAGATGTTTGTAAAGTAGAAATTTGTAATTCCAGTTTATTAGATTAAAAAAAAAAAAAAATGGAAAATAAAGAAATTTCTGTTGAAATAGTCACCAATAAAATATACTTTGTAGAAGAAGCCATGAATATTTCTTTCAAATTTATCAATAAAGTAAGTAAATATTTAATTTAAATTTGTATAAAATTGTTTTTATTTTATAGTATAATATTTTTTTTATAGTCTTTGAAACCAAAATACTCTGATTGGATTGCATTATATAAATGTAGCAGCAATAGAAATTTAGAAGAATTTGTTGCAGTAGAAACTGATTTAAAAATCCACACACCAACAAAGTATGGTTTTTATCAAGTTAAATTTTTTGCAAATCAGTTGAAGAATGTTGAATGTAATATAGCCTATGAATTTCTTTATGGAAATGAATTTAATGAGGTATGTTAATTTTATGAAATAGTCAATTTCTACAATATTTTATGTAATTATAGATTTATGGAATTAGTCATCCAATACGTTTTATTCATCAAAATGAATGTATTTATTGTTATCCCAATAATTCAGAATTAGAAACAAATCATTGTAATAGTTGTGTTTCTCAGGTGATTATTAATTTTCTTTTCTTTTAGTAATTATTATGTATAGTATTATAATGAATATAATGTATGCATTATACATGAAAACAACATAGCATATTATTAAAATATAAATTATAAATATTATAATTATAATTATAATAATATGAATATAACTATTTAAAAAAAAATATATTTTACTTATTTTATAGTAAATTATGTAGGTAGTATGCATATACTACAGTGATTCTTAGACTGTATTCTGCGGAGCAATAGATGAGTATGAAGAATTTATTGAAATGACCACCGATTCATCTTTAAAAACTATTCAATAAAAATCATTAACAGATTTTTGGTGTAGTAGTAGTATTAGTGATGAATATTAATTTTTGACTATAAAATCTCTACTTCTTTCTTTTGCCATGATATGTCTGTTTAAAATTTGATTTTTATTATAATATGCATAAAAAAAAACAAAATATTACAATAAATTAGATCCTGAGGCAGATATGTGCATCTAATTTTCACCTATCAAGCTAAATATTAAAATACTGGTCAATGATAAAAGTCAACATCATGGATTACTTTAAAATAATTTAATATTAAAATTTCTTAATGGCTAAAATAATATTTTATCTTTTTCTACTAAATAAATTAAAACATAAAAACATTTTTTTATGAATTATTGTTCTCAAAACAACATTCATGATTTTTGGAGCTCTTTAGGAACATAAAGGCTTTAAGAACCAAAAAGTTTGAGAATTGCTGATATAGTACATAGTACATACTCACAAATTATACTTGTATTAATATTTTGTAATTCAAATTAGTCTGAATAAGTGTTGATGTATAAATGTTTTGATTTTCTATAGGAATTAATTAATTCATTATTAGCCCATATTTCTACTTTGGATAGTCAATTGACTGACTGCAAAATAAAATCTAATGAGATTATATCATTGAATAAACGTTTAATGGCTCAAATGAATGAAAACGAAGTAATTGTTAAAAAAAATAATGAATTCTTAAATGAATTGTTTTATTCTAATGAACCTGTGACTAGAGATGAATATGTAAGTTATTTGTGTAGATAACTTTTACAAATATAAAATATATATTATGATGCTTATTAGTTGTTAATAAAATTATTTATGTTTGCAAGAAGTGGATCGAAACATGTTCTGATATTGATTTAAAAATGAGTTGTATTGAAAGCAACGAATATGAACTACAAGATTTATCAAATCAAAATTATGAATTAGAAAAAGCATTAGAAAAGTTCACTAAAAAAGAAGAGGTATATTACATTTTTATTTAGAATATTGGTAAAATGTATTCAATTATTGTATAAATAACTGCTTTAATATTTTAACTTTATTTTTCTTGTTTTAATATCCTTTGAATCAATAGAATAACCAATCAAAATAAGTAGAGGAACTCAATAAAATGGAAGCTACTTGTTAGTTGATTTGATATGATTACTTACTTACCTGTAGTTCAGCTTATAGATATTTTATTCTTTTGGCAAAATATTTCTTGTAAATATTTTAATTGAATTTGTTTTTTTTTTTAAATTAACTCTGTACTTAATTTTTATTGCCAAAAAACTGGCATACATAAAAACGTTTAAAATGGTATTAAAACTAATACTTAAAAATATTTAAATTATGATTTTAGCGCTTAAATTAAATTTAGTATTAAAATTTTTAGGACAAAGAAATTGACGATGTTCAGTCCCTTAACACTGTGAGTTAAATACAAATGTTTATGAAACTTAATTTTAATTGTTTAAAATATTAATGCCCTTATTATTTGTAGGATAGTTACAAGATGCTAGATTGTACAGTAAATGTAGAAAGTGTGTTTACACCAGAGCCATCAAAAGCAACTATTGTGTTTATTGACAGCGATGAAGATGATGTTTAGTTGTTTCAATATTGTTATTATTGAAAATATCAATAAGAATTTACATTTATATTTTAATATAAAATGATTACTTATTCTAAGCTTAATGAGATAATTTTATCATTTAAGATTGTTGTTATGAAACCAAAAAAGAAAAAGAAATATTGAAAATATAAAATATTTGGTCTCTTTAATTTTGTGTCAATTGATAATGTCTTTAATTGGCCTCTGAATTTTTTCAAATATAAAATATGAATTTTCTAATACCTCAGTACTTTATTTCTTGATACTTTGTCATTCGTTCAAAATTATATTGACAAACATTTGAAACACCATTGAATGAGTTTAACATTATTTCTTTATATTCATCAATTATTTAAATCAGGGGTCGGCAACCTTTTTAACCACACGGGCCATTTTTTTTTTAATTGTTCATCAAGGGCCACATTAAAAAAAAAAAATACATATTATGATATAATACTTATAATTGTATTGCTATTATGAAACGGTTAGATTAAATTTTATTTATAAAGGAAAAAGAATTATATAATATTGAAAATTATATGAAAAATGTTATTGAACAAAAGTAAAACACAAAAATTAACCACCTTTGTGCGGGCCATCAAAAATTGCTTTGCGGGCCGCGGGTTGCCGACCCCGGATTTAAATTATTGGATATACTTACTGAACAAAAATATCATGTGTGCAGATAGTACATTTTTTTATAAAAAAATATACATTAAATATATCACATCAACTTTAAGGAAATACAATACTAAGATGGTGATTATGAATAAAAATATTAATTATTTTCAAATAACGTTAATTTATTGCTTATTGAATTAAAATTAACATTTCAGTTATTACATAAATTAATATTTTTATTTTTTTAAATTAGCTAATCATTTTACAAGATGTGTGCCACTTTTTTACCGACATAATATTGTTTAAATATTTGTCTAATCCCACTCACCTCTAGAAAAAAAAAAATCATAACTTCTTAGCGTGATTTTAGACAAAAAAAAAAAAAAAACATGATTTAGGAATGAAAATTAAAAAAAAATTGTTATTACTTAGGAAAACATAACAAAACGACTAATAGAAAAAAATACACAATGTTCATATATATAAAATAAAGCAACAACAAAATGTTAACATAAAATTATTTCAATTTAGAAGAAAAATTTTTTTATAATAATATTGTAGTAATTTAAATTAAAATATGAAAATGGAAACGTTAACGTAACAAGTTTTGTTTTGAGATAATTTATATTATGTTTAAAATATATAAGAACTAAAATAAAACATGTATATTATACAATAATAATTAATAACTCTATGGGGCTAACAGTGGTTAATCAAAATTATTAACAAATTGAATATACAATGTTGTGTGTAAACATGTATTAAATAAAATCTAAGAAGATAATACATAAATTTATATTTGTTTTAAAATGGTAAATTAACAAAAAATAATTTTAATAACCCACATAAATCCGTGGTTAAATTGATTCAATTGTTTTTTATGTATAAATAAACAATTAAAACATAAAAATATAAAGTGTTGGATTGCACGGTTTAATAAAAGTAATAAAAATAATAATTATAATAATAATAATAATAATAAAAAAAATATTAATAATAACTAATTATCTACGGTGTCCCCCTAATATATAACAAAAATAAATAATGATATATAATAAATTTATTTATAATTATAATCAAATATTGTTAATAATAATATACTCTGTACAAATTTACAAAAAATATATATTCTTTATTTCGAATAGTAATAATAAAATTTGTAATTAAATATAATTCCTAATATTTTATTACAGTTGATGATGTAAATGATTGTTAAAAAAAAAAGTGAATAGAAAACGAAAGTTTTCATTTTGTACAATATATTTAGGGAAAAAAAGGAAAAAAGAACATATTGTCGTTTTCCAGAACATTGAGAAGTTTATCCTACTTTTTTTTTTTTTATTCATTATAGTATTCAGTCTCAATAACTAACTGGCCTTAATAGGTTAAAAAAAAAAACCGTAAAATAATCGTCAAACTTTAATTTAGTCGAACGTTTTTTAAATTGTTTATAAATGATTTTCGTAGACGGTAATGTATAAAATTAATAGAATAAAATAATGTAAAATATATATTTTGGTAAAAAAATCAACTAGACGGTTTAAAAAAAAAAATTTATTTTTGGAATTATATTGCACAATACCACCTTACAACCAGCTCAAAACAAATAATAAACTAATTAAATTTAAAAAAGCACCAAGCGCTGCTATGATTTTCAACTTCTTAGGACGTAAATTGTTATTGCTGTAAGTATAAAAACTGATTGTCGTTTCCTCGTTCGTCGAACAAAACACTGCAATACCACTGAATGTTATTTTTAAAATTACGATTTTCGATGTATTGTTTTTTTAAACGTTTGAAATAATCAAATCTAATGCGTTTTATTTGGTTTCTGTAATATAATATCAAAAACATGAAAAAAAAAAATTTGGTAATAATTAACGCACAAACTCGAAAAACGGCGTGTAAATATATATAGCAAATGTCAGAGGTATGTATATGATAAAATTTCACAACAAAAAAAATAAACGTGGCCGATAAACGGACAAGTAACGTCACGTACACATATCGACGAGTCAGTGGTTGTTTAGAAGCTAAAAATAAAAATAATAATAAAAAAAAATTAATCCACATTTTTATATAGGTAAGTAATATGATTAACGAGGTGTTTTTTTTTTTTTGGTCAAAAGTATAGTCTCCCTAACTGGGAGTATAGTAATTTATATAAGAAAAATATATAATATAAAACTCAACATTTTTATCCGGAAGACACGATGAAGAAAAAAATAGTAAATAAAAATATAAATAGTAATAAACATAATAATAATAATAATAATAATAATAATAATAAAAAAAACGTGTACAATATTATAACGTTTTTTTTTTTCATATAATAAATGCCAAACCTTTGCGGAGAAAAAAAAACGTGTACGTAGAAATTTATTACGATTTATATCAATATTTGGCAGGGCGCTTCGCTAAAGTGTGGCATTAGCGTAGGTGTCTCGCTCGATCGCCCCCGCTCCCCCCAAATTCGGCGCTCATTCACCGCAGACGCGTGTGTGTGGGTGTGTGTGTGTGTGTGTGTGTGTGTGTGTATGTGTGTGTTCGGCGTGGGTGTACTCACACCGACGGCGACGGCGCACGTGGACGACGACGACGGTGGAGGCGATCTCATGGCGGCAATAGGAACGGCACCTGCGGGAAGTCAATGGCCTTTGGCATGTAGCACTCGTGCACGGTCTTCATGTGGTTCTTCATCTTGTCGGGTCGCGAGAACTCTTTGGCGCACACCGGACACGGGAACACCTTGCGCTGGTGGCCCTCGTGGTAGAGGAACGCGTGCCGCTGGAAGCTGTACTTGTTCTTGAACGTCTTCAGTATGTCCGTCTTGGCGCACTCCAGACACTTGTAGATGCCCTCGGAAACGGTGGCGTACCGGAACAGGTTCAGGCCGCGGACCGACATTTCGGTGAGCTGCTCGGCCGGGTCGCTGGACGACGTGGCCCGCCGCCGGATGCGCCGCTTGACGGGCGTCCTCAGCGACGCGGCTGCTGCTGCTGCGGCGGCCTGTTGCTGTTGTTGCTGCTGTTGCTGCTGCTGCTGTTGCTGCTGCTGATGATGTTGCTGTTGCTGCTGCTGCTGGTGGAGTTGCTGCGACTCTTGCATCTGTCGCTTCTCCTCGTCCAGGGCCGCCTGGAGCTGTTGCTTGTAGCCGGACGTGTGCTGGGACACGGCCAACGAGAACTTGGACTTTTGATCGGCCGCCATAACCGACCAGCTGGCCGCCAGCGTCAGGCGCGCGTCGTTGTTGTTGTCCCGGTCGCCGCCGTCCGCCGCCTGGTGGAGGTGATGGTGGTGGTCGTGGTCGGTCCGCGAAGACAGTAACTTCAGCATGTTGGCATTGTGCATGTCTGCGGAGCACACGGAAAGAAAAACACGTTTAAAAAACACGTCGAAAACATAGGTATAAATATATTATTATTTTTTTTTTTTTTACTCAATACTTTTAACGGTGTCTATACACAATATGCAAATCATAATGTAATAACGATGTGTTCGCAGCATTCAAATAAAATAATATTACTGGTGCGTTTTCGACACTCGCCGACTGTGATCGATGAGAACGAATATATACAATACATAATATACCAGGTTCGTAATGGATAAAGTATCATAATAGGGTACGTTCATAACAAAAAAAAAAAAAAAAAAACTGCAGCAAGCAATACGTAAGTAATATCATAGAATATAAAATACACGGCGTGTGACCATGTGAATGGTATCACGCGGTCTTGAAGCAATGCAAAAAAAAAATATATATATATATAATAATAATAAAAATAATAGATATATAAAGCTAAATTGTCGTAGACAACACTGTGTATGTGTCTTGCTGAGATTGAAGTATAAAATGAAAAAAAACTGTAATCGAAGTCTATCGTTAAAAAACTACGATAATAATATATGGGTTGGGGACGTCATTTCGATTTATTTTCGGCGTACAAATTTAATAAAAAAAGGGTGGCAACGTCTTATGTGCGGGTAGAATTTATGCGGTTTATACCATTGTCCATCGAGTATCGTTGATTTTTAGATATGATTGGAACCAGGATTTCTACCCAAATCATTAATTCGAATTTTTAGGGCTCAATAGAATAAATAGGGTGTTGTAGAAACACCGGAAAAATATAAGCAGGGGGCATTTAATAAGACATATTATAGCATGATTTAATTAGCCATAACAGTTATTAGTACTTAGTAATAACGATACGGGTTTTTAGTAGTTTAGGAAAAACTTCATTTGAAAATTAAGTAGCCAAGAACAAGAGAAAATAGGGAGGCAAAGTTAACTAAAAACTATATAATGTATAGAAGAATCCAAGTAAAAATATACATTTAAAAAACATTTTATTGGACATTTATATTGTTGATAATTATTTATCATAATAAATCTTTAAATTATGACCTTCAGAGATTTGTTTTAAAAAATTAATAATTATAAAATAAATTAATAAATTATTATACTTCATACTGCAATTAAACAAATCATTTTTTTCATCGATGTTAGGTACCTCAGGTCACAATTCACTATAAAATAATTTTGGTTCTTTTCGTAATAATGTAACTAAAAAGTCTAAAATCATTGACAAAATTGTTTGATTAAACTGACTGATTTTGTTTTTAATCTGTTTTTTTTTTTATTCCATTCATTATATTTTTAACCGAAAAAGTCAATACTGAAATGACGTCCTAAACTATGACTAATCGCGTATAATTCAAACCATATTATTTATAACTTATAAGGTACCTATACCTATAACATGGACATGACCAAAGACTAAACTATGATTAGAAAAAACTACGAAGTTATTTTTAATCAACGGTTATCTACTTAAAACAGAATCTATAATATAATTGCTGTTAGTCCGCGTTAGGTATTCACTACTTGTGCTACTATACATATTAATAAGTAAAATAGATAGGTAACTGCAAATTATAACCGTAAACGTATAAACAATAGCGCAGACATAATATAACGGACATTGCCGGCAATTATTAGGATATATAATATTATATTTTATTACGCATGATCGTTGCGTTTATTATTATAATAATAATAGGTATATGGTTAAAATCCTAAATGTTAAAAGAAACAAATTTACGTGTTATTATTAATTTTATTTAATAATTATAGGTTATTAACCTAAATCGAATGTATGTTAAAGAATCGATCATGTTTATGTAAATGCCGTTGTACCATATAATTATTATTCATTAATTGTGATGTATAATATGTTAGTATGGTGGAAGAGTTTGATTGTTATTTAATCGGATTGTTGATATAAAATAATATATAGGTAGCCAGGCCGAGATACCAGGTTAATAATTTAAAATAGACAACATTTCACTAAGTTTTACTTCGTTTATAAGTCGTACCCTATAGATTATAGCATGTTAGGGTTCCTATACTCTGTCTATTATGAAGTAAAAGGTAGATGCTTCATAGCTAAGAATATAAAATATACTATGCAGTATAAGTATGCACAGCAAAAAAATTATTTAATAGACTGTGTGAGCTATAAATAAATACATTATACTTAAATTATATTAATTCGAAAATCAAATACTTCTGAGGCCAAAATAAATTTTAATATAGCTAAATAATTATTTACTAATTTTACGTATAATATTTGTAATTATTGATCATGTTTTTAACGTTATGTACATTAAATCTTATTTACATGTTGTAACGCTTTTGTTTCGATACTACTCACTAATAGTTAAGTTAATAAATAATAATCGTTGCAAGTATTTAAATAATGACAAATTATTTAAGTATGTCTCAGAAATATTGAATTATTCGTTTACAGAAACCAATTTTATTTCCAAGGCATATTTATTTTTCTACATTATGTAATAAACTATTACGTTACGTCTAAGTGCAATAATAAAAAAAAAAGTAATAATGATAATAGTAATAATAATAAAAAACTATAGAAAAAGTAATATACTATAAAATATAATAAAAGTAATTAAAAAATAAGAAATTAACTTTATTATTATTTTCATTTTGAAATCATCATTCATAATTATAAAATATACATTTATTTGTAAGAGAAGAGAAGTTTATATTTTGTTCTGAATTTTTTTATATCCAGGCAAAAATGAAACATTTAATAGAATAAATTATTCAGAGGAATATTTATTTTTTCTCAGACTTACGTACAATAGAAGGTATAAAATATATTAGTGTAATCAGAGGATAGTATACAATATTTTTTAGGGTTTGACACATCGTATCAGTTTTATGTTTTATAATTAAACTTAACACAGACGAATATTTAGATAAATTTAAATGCCATACCCTGAAAAATATTATTCTTTATGATATTTGTGATGGGCAATTTTATGTTAAGATCAGTGAAAAACGTAAAAATTATTTTGAGTGATGTGTATTATCAAAGTTGTTCGTGGGCCAGGGATAAAATATAAGTGCACTGCTGACACATAAATAAAATGATTTATACATAGTAGGTATCTACATAATAAAATAGTGTCTCGTTTGAACTCAAAAATAATGGTTCACAAATTAATAAATCTTTGGTTATAAGTTATAACTGTAAATTTTAGTAACATAGATAAAATAATAAAAATAGATACTAATAGTATCAAAAACCAGTTAAAATCTATAAAATATTTTTAAAAATGCACGCATAAAGCTAAAAATACATTATATTATAATACTGTTTGAGCGTAAAATTTATCTACACAAAATCTAGATACTAATTCATATCTCATGCTGTTATTTAATTATGTTCACCTGTCACTTACAATAGTTATTTGTTGATTTGATTTTGCAATTTTGTAGATATAACTCCTATGGCCGCAAATATAACAAAATATTGTACATAAAGATAACAGTGTACATGTTTAAAGAAATTAGTTATAAAATTAACTAAAAATATAGTGCTTAATAAAATACGTAAAAGCTAATATTAGTAGCATTTTACATTGATATAACATTAAATATGAGCAGAATAGGTATTTAAAAAATAATAAAACATACAATTTTCATACTTTTTTATTTTATCATAAATTTCACATATTAAATATCACTGTATATACTAGGTATTTGATGGCGCATTAAAACAAAACAAAGATAACATATAAATTTTCAACGCTGCCCAAAGAATAAATATTAAATAGGAAAAAAATAACAAAAACAAACGGATTAATAACAAATTAATGATCATGTTAAAACAAGCTTATTTGGATACTTATTCAATTCAGTCAATTATTAAATTCAAAATAACAAACCAAAAGAAAAAATAATAAATTCAACTAATATTTGTAGCTTTCACAGCCAATTTAATTAGTAATGGGCGTTCAAATTTTATTTAAAATACTTGTTATTTCCCCAAAAGTTAAAACAAAGCACCATTGTTTACTAAACTAATTGTATGCTAAATACACCCTGTCTAGCAGTCTATAAATAGTAATAATAATAATAATAATAATAATAATAACATAATATAGCGTAATATAATATAATATAATTAAATATGATTGTATTTATAAACGTAAACAAATTTTTTTAACAACGTTATAAACTTAAAAACAAAACTACACATAATGGCAAGGCAGATTGAATAACAAATTGACTAAGAAAACACACAGCCCAACTTAAAAATTAGATATTAACAAAAACAATCAAATCATATACTAGTTTAAAATTTAGTTTTGACTAATTTAGTTTTATGCAAAAACAACATTTTTAAATTAAATAAAGACCTGTTTAGTCTTTGTAATAGACAGTATATCAAAATTGTTTTTAATTGCTACGTAAAAAATGTAACTTGTGCATTGAGTTCAGTTTACATAATCATACTCAGCCTGCTTTAATGATATTTGGCTTGTAAATGGCAAGACCGGCTCAAATTATTGACAAGTATTTATTATAACAATTGTATACCTTAAATAGTATAACAACCCAAATTTAAATAATTATTTTAAAACAAAAAATTGGACGGGTTAACTATGGAAGGAGCATAAGAGTAGAAGGAAAAACAAAAACAAATTAAAACTTAGGAAGACAAAAACGCAAAAAAAAAAAAAAATAATAATAAATAAATTTTAACAAAAATAAACCTTCCTTTACCCTAAAAACAAGAATTATAGAATTGAACAGCTATTTAAGTACATATTTTAAAACTATATCCCACTCATAAATTGTTACATTCTAATTATTTCATTCAAGTTTCTTAACTTTGGTACAATATATGATTGAACGTGTTTATGGGAAAGACATTATCAGCATTATTACCTTCAATACTGGTTAAATAAACAGTCAACATGTAAAAAAAAAAATTTAATTGTAGTTGCCAGCATACCTAAACAACAATAGAATATCACAAGCTATTAAATTCAAATCTAGAATTGCTGTTGTTGTTTGTAGCATATACTTTTGGAGCAGAAACTCTGTGTACTTGTTTCATATGTGTTAACATATTATCCCTTCTTGTAAACATTCTAGTACACACAGGACAAGGCACTTCTTGTCTAATCCCATGATGAGATGATAGGAAATGTCGACAAAAATTACTAATGTGAGTGTATGTTTTACGGCATAAATTACATCTAAAAAGATTGCTTGATTCTTGAGTACAGAATTGACGAACTGAATACTTGTCCATAATTGGGCGATTAGTATGGTTTGTTGTATTGTCTAAGTCACTTGTTCCATTTGTATTTTTAAATGAAGTACTTGTTTGTTCAGATTCTACTTCTGAAAAATATTTGATCTCTTACGTTAAATTTAATTTTACACAAAATTTGTATAGTAAATTGTAATAGACTAGGTATATAAAAATGTTTTTAAAATACATTTCTCAATAATTTAAATGTAAATAATTATATTTTATAATTTAACCAAAATAGTAAAAAGTACTTATATCTTCAACTTACAATGGTCGAAAAAGTAGAAAAATATATTTTAAAGAGTAAAATCATAATATTGAAATAAATCATTGATTTTTATTTTTTAAAAGATTTCAAAAATTAATACTTGAATAAAAGTAAAACATTTTTATAAGCCCATCCTAAGAGAATATTAACAAAATGATGGGTCCACTTTCCTCCATTTTAATTTAAAACTACTGAAAAATATATTTAAGGAAATACTACTTACCTGATTGTCAATCAAAATTATGTTCTTTAAAAATTCTTTTTATAGATTTATTACTTTGACAGTAGGTAACAAAAATTTGTTTTAACGCACAGACCAGAAAAAACCAGATGCGAAACCTTTCTCTTAAATTACTTTACATTTTATCCACCAAATCCATTAAAGTTATATTATACAATTTATGAAGGAAAATTTAATGAAAAGTTATGGACAAAATTATAAATTAAAAATAAAAGAGGAAGGTGTCCCATCTGATTGTTAATTTATAAGCGCTAAAATAATCACATTAAAAAAATAATTTTTAAAAATTTACGATGACGAAAGACATGATTAGCAAGTATATTGTTACATAATAATGAAGTTTACTCAACAAACTAAAATGGTAATTATCTCTTGAATGATGACATAGGCAGAAAAGGTTTATAATAAAACTTACCACATGCGCTTTGGTCTAACTGCATACTAGTAGAATGAGTGTCATATTCTTTTTTCACTGTACTTAAATCTAAAATAGAAAACAGAAAGTATGTATTTTTGTAAGACACAAGAACATACAGAACTGATACAATATATATATGTATTAATATATTATTAACTAGCAATTTAAGTTCAATACTAATAATAAATCAATTCAAGATACTGGTATAATGATATATATATATAATACTTAATAAATGTTATGAAATTATGATAATAATAATAAAAATGCAATTTTTATAAGCTACACAAAATATTTTAATTAAATTCATACGCTTTAATGAAGTTAAAATAAATTTACCTTGGGATGTTCCTGGAACTGGATCAATAGGCTCTTGTTTTATTTCCATTCCATTTTCTGTATACTCTTCTTCCATGTCTTCATGATCAGGCACATCATCTTGGCTTGGAGAATCCAAATGTCTAGGTGCAGCTGCAGCAGATTCTGATTCTTCAGACATGTTCAATTCTAATAAATCTGGTGGATCACGGCCGCTTCCTACATTATTCATATAATACTTATATTTTTAATTCTATTTAAAAATTATATTGCTATGCTATTGTACAATATATTATTATTTTCAATAAGCTTACCTGCGCTTGTACCAACTGGTGTGGATGCTCTACTATCATCATTATTATTGTCGTTTGGCCGTGAAGGTGAGTTACTCCCTGTAGATAATTTCCTGGGGCGTCCACGTTTCCTTTTTGGTGCAGTCAAAGCAGATCCTAATAGTGGGTTCATTGGGTATGACAAATGTTGACGCTGTTGATCGTGAAGCGGATGAGATGGCAATGGCCTTTTCATAGGTAAAGGACTATGGTTATGTATGCGTTGAAGTTGAGGCACGTGAGCCATTTGGTTGTTGTGTACTGGTGAAGAAGATGGAGATGATGAGTGAGACTGAAGGAGAGAAGAAGCTAACGAGGGTAAGTCTCCACGATCTTCATTGACCTCAGTTAAACCTTTGATTCGCAATGATTCTGCTACTTTAAGAAAAGCAGCCAATCTATCTTGATCAACACTAACCTAAATAAATTAAACAATTTGCATGTTACATTTTGTTGTTGAATAATATAAAATAATCATCAATAACTATTTACCTCGCCTCTGTACATAAAGTCTAATAAAGATCTCATGTCAACTAGTGGAACATCTTTGAGTATTACAATTGGATGTCTATCAGGGTGTCCAACAAAAAGTGTCTAAACAAATAAAACATATAATTAATATTTCGTAAAAAAATGTAAAATAATTTTTAAATAAATACCTGAAAGTAAGGACTGCATGCTGAGAGAACCATTTTGTGAGCACGAAGCATTTGACCTTCGACAGCTAATGTCACATCTACAAAGGCCTCGCTCGTCAATAGTTGATCGAAAACAGCAAGCAAGTTGGATTGATGGTTGTTCCATCGGAGGCAAAACCTCTGTGATTGTCCATTGTTTTGTGACATGTTTACTATGATTCATGTAAATAATTTTTAAAACTATCTTGTTACGTGTATCAAATTTTGATCACAACACTTAATAGAAAAATACGCTCGAAAAATTCACCTGTAACAAATAAAATTAACAAATTATAATTATTATTTAGCCAGGAGGTAATTAAATTAAACTATTATAAACGTCGAAATTATAATATTGTGTGCTTAATGCGTTGAAAATTAAATGGGTATGATAATATTATTCATTTATAACAAGAATAAAATATTGTAAGTTAATTTCAATTCAGTTTAAAACAAGTTAATGTATTTAAAAATTTTTAAAATAATAACCAGATAAATAAAAAGCAGATTCAATTTAATAACAGAGTATAAAACATTACAAAATGTTGATTGATCTAAATAAAGAATAAAACTATAATAATATAATATAGTTAGAACGATTTAAATGAATATAATAATTTATTTTAAACGGAAGTAATAGGTTTCCAATGTTCTCTTTTTGGTATTTATCTGACTGTTAATACTGACAGATAGACAGATAGGGGGACAATTATAAATAATGTAATGCGATAATTTTGACATTTTTAACCCCTATAGAATTGCTTATCGCTTAAACCATGTACCCGTAACGCATTTGAACATACTGTAACTATAGATGCATATAATTATTCTTTTTTAACTACAGCACGGTATAATCAATTTTAGTCAGAAAACGACTTTAGTTTAATGAATTTCATATTAAAAAGTATCATAACTAAATTATTGGCCTATAGTATTTATTATATTACTTAACTATCACAATTACATTTTCATGACTTTCTTTAAAAATATACAAACTAGTATAATTATTATGTTTCAAAAACAATTAATAGGTATTTTAATAAAATTAAATAGCTTGTTATGTCTAATGAAAAGACATTTAACTCTAACAAATGTCAAATGGATATTTACAGAATATTATAATGTTCCGTCTGCAACTATTAGAACAATTGTATAGGTACTAATAGTACACTATTATTATGCATAATAATACTTGCAACTGCGATATCTACCTATAATGTTATTATATATATCAGGTCATCAAACTCTCATTATAAAAGGAACCCGTCAACTGAATACGAATTCGTATGAATAAATATAATAATTATATTAAATAAAATCGACATATAAAATAAATAAGTTTATTAATTTGAAACCAATTCGAATCACGTATTTTGAGTTCATTAAATTAAAAAATAAAGTAAATTTTAACAAATATTATATGATTAAAAGACGTTGAATCCGCATGTGTATATCACCAAATTTTTAGAGGAAAATATTATAATACCGTGCTAGAGTGAAGAGTATTTATTTTTTTAATATTTATTTTGAAACGAATAATGCGAATTTTAAATTTTAATTCAAGAACTTATCTCTTCATAAAATTAAACTATGTAAGACAAAACTCTTTAATCGAGTACAGTTTATATTCTTCTTTATATCTTTGATAACATGTAAATTTACTCTAATGTTAATTAAAAATGAATTATGGTAAGAAATAAGTACATCGATTTGTCATGTTACACGTGTATTAGGCAAAGTCAATACCACTGTCTTTTAAATTAATTAGATTATATACCTATGAATTGTAAAAACATGATTCGAGTGACATATCGTAAACTATTTGTTCAATGTGTAGGTGGTCTAAAATGTAATAAATTTATTAGTTATAATGTTGAAAATAACTATGTAAATGAAACCAACAAATTTTAGTTGATTGATTTAATGAAATTAATTTAGTTTAATAAACAAATAAAAAATTCAACTTTAATAGACACACAAAAAAGGCAATTTTGTTGATTAAATAATAAACGCAGTATTTAACATAAAAGTTCAGAAGTTTTGGATTGTAAAAATAAACTTTAAAATTAAATATTAAAAGTATTAAATATGAAAGTAATTTTTTTATGATTGTATTAAAACTAAAAATTAGAAAAAAATATGATTACAAATATGTCATCAATAGAGATATACAATTAAGTAGACATGTCTACATCAATTTAAATATTAACCTACACATTTTTGATTCAATATATATTGTACTTATGGTTTAAAATGTAAGTACAGAACTTGACATTTATATTAATAATAGAGATCGGGATCTTTTAAATCTTTTAACCTAATGGACTATCGGGATAAATTAAAATCAACGATAAAAAAAATGTCTAGGCATATTTGATAGGAATTCAGTGTCTTAAAAATTATATTTAATAAGTCAAATAATAACATTTTAAGTGAAAGAATATTTTACATGATATTATTTAACATATTTGCAGCCTTCATTATTTATTATTTATTAATGAAAACATTAATTAACGTACGAAGAGTATAAAATATTATCTGAGTTTTTAATTAAAAATAATCGGTTTAGTATTTTATTTATACAGATCTATAAAACACATTTTTTTTCCAATTATTAATTAGTAAACTGATAAAAAAATCAAATTATTAACTTAAATAATTGAGTTATAATCTTATTGTTATTATTATTATTTAAATAAACAACAATAATAGAATATATTATATAATAATTATATTATAACTTATATTATGTAGAGCATTAGTAGATAAAATAATTTAATTATAGCATTTTTAATTTACTAAAATAATATAATATACTTATATACCTAATGAATAATAATTTTTGTGTTTGTATCAAATAACAATTATGTTACATACGTTTAATAAAGGCAAGGGAACATTTAAATTAAATTTATAGGTTTATTATATTATTATTTATAAGGTTACACATACAAATACAGCATAGGTAATTAAAAAAAACGTATCTAAGAAAAGAATAGGATATTCAGCAAATATAAAATTGAACAAACAAAACTGTTAAATGCGGTTTAGTGAAAACGCAAAGTTCAACAAGACAATTATTCGATATCGATGGCCTATATTTAAATAAAACAAATATACATATTATTTATTATATATTATTTTACATTAACTTATATAAGTTTTATGCGTAGAATAATTTGATCACTTGCCAATATGGGAATACGGGGAAATGATACGATATTAAATTTGAGATAATATTCTGGTTTATTAAAGTGTAAAATAAATATGTTGAACACATTTTTATTTTGTCGGGACGAGTTTGGAAGTAATCTAAATGCAAAGAACTGCAGATAAAAATGTTATCATTATTGTAGCAATATTCAGGGATGGATATGGTCGAAATCCATTCGACTGAAGTATTTTAAATGTACATTAAACAATGATCACTAAACTAGTGGCAGTTTTTGTATTTCGTTATCTGGAAATTCAATATGTTTTCATAAATCATTTTAACAGACGCTGATAATATTTCGAGTAAACTACTGCAGATGTTCATTCAAAGTTCATTCGATAAAAAAATTAATAAATCATCGGTTAGTATTGCTGACAATACTCATTATATTACAGTGTCCCCGTATAGTTAAAAATAATATATATATAGGTATTTATCAAACCCTTGAGAATACAAATTAAATGCTTTAATTGTTTACCGTAATAAAACTCTTAGTTAATTCTTTATTTTATTTGAAAAAAAAAAAAAATTAAGATTGTATAGAATTACCGACATTTAATGATGCAATTTTCAAAATAACCATGATATTAATACGCATTACGTATTTAAATACATAAACATTTTGATGTAATGATTTATTTATTTATTATAATGATACCACTAAAAAACTAACCATAAATGATTGTCCTACGTTACGATTCTTATTGCTGAAGAATAATTAATTTGCATCCTTCGGAAAACGCCTTATACATAAATATTTATACATGTTATTATTGATGGATCAATCATTACCTATTGGATATATTATTATATTATCTAATATTTAAATCAAGAATATTCTTCAATACCCTTGTTCTAGTAGTGAAATACGATCGATTTATTATTTGACCCAGCGTAGATTCCAAGAACAATGTGAAATATAAAAGAAAAACCACGAGTTCATCAGAGTAATATACCAAACAAATTTAATATAAAATATAACAAATAACATTATTCCGATTCTAACACGTTTTGGTTTGTTAAAACAATGTCTTTGTGTAATAAATATTATTATGTCGTCAGTAATACAAGACGTACGGTGATGTTCTAGTTGTATACCTTTACTTGTTAAAAGTAAAAATTGTTTTTTTTAAACGTGTTCAACTAGGAATATTATCTTTAAAAAAGTCTACAATTCATACGTACAGGTTTTTCTTTTTAATTTAACCTTGTTCTATGTTTATAGCACCTATAGTATGTCAAATAAAATTATTAAATACATTTGTGAGGACATAATTCATCAATTAATGTACAATAAGAAAGGGCACGTTTAGGATTTGTTATTAATTTACTTATTTATTCACCTTCAAACAAATTGTATTTTTTTTAAATATCACTGTAGCATGATAATCAAATTCTGAGATGATAATAAACGAATGATTAACTAGTATAGATATAAGTATTAGTGGTTGCGTTAGAATAAATTAATGTATTTATACAAATATATGTAATATCCATATTTTTTGTATTACAAGTTTTCAACGATTTATTGCAATGTTAGGTATATTATGTTCTTATGATGTGGTATTTAAATGTATCTATACCACAATATAATATTGTTTATATGATAATTATTTAGCGGTTAAATAGATTTGCACCACGTTTAGTTTTAAAGATTGTTTTTCAGGTGATGAATTTTTTATGGTAACGAACGTTATCGGATTTCTGTCGCGCTGACAAGATACAACGCGCGAAAGAAATAATACCTACCTATTATTAACATTACATGAATTATATATCGCATCAAATATGGTGCCCGTTCGATTACGACGTATCTATCAATATTTACGGAACAGCCGACATGAAAACAATATGTAATTACGTTTCCGAATTTGTAAGTTCCGCAAGTATTTGTTATTACTCGTTACGCATTCGGTGGTCGGTGATCGGTGGTCTGCGGGGAGATATTTTCCATCTGACCGGGACGTCGAACTATATTATTTTACTATGTATCACATACAAAAAGCATGCGAGGTTTTACTTTGGGCGGTAGCGGTAATGAAAAAAATTGTACGGGGCCCAAGAGAGAGAGAGAGATAGAGAGAGAGAGAGAAGGAAATATAACGCCTCTTCGACCGCAATATTGAATACATGTATATATACATATAAAAATAATAAATATATATTACAGGTACACAACAATACGTTATAAACACGAATGTTCTCCATGCACACACGTTCATAAAAGAGTTTACGGCGGCGGGCGCGTCGTTCATACGATTGGCCGTGCTCGCGGGAACCCGGGTGTACCGTTAAACTCGCGGTCGCGGCGGTGTCCTCCGATAGGCCCTTCGACCGTTCGGTTTTATATTGGCAGGTTACTACAGGTAGGTAGGTACCTGTGCGATGTTATCGCGCGGCGTGTGAGTGTGTACGTGTGTGTGTTATATTGTTTTCGTAATACCGTCACGTCTTTCGGATAATGACGAAACAATAATACGAAAAAAAAAACGTAAAACGATAATAATAATAATGACAAAAAAAGAACTAGGAAGATAAACAATAATAAATAATTTAAAAAATCCCATGTAAACGTGAAAAAATACAAAATAAATCAAGGGAGGGACAACGAGTGCTCGTGCATGATTTGTGGCGAAATGCATTCCGCACAGTGTTGCCATTTTCCCTTAGCGCGCTGCCCCTCCCGACAACAAACTATAGCCTCACCCCCCACCGTGGTGGCGCGTTACCCCTCTACCACAGTGGGATGAAATAAATAATAATTGTATTTTCAACGCCGGAGCGCGGAATGAACGCTCGCCTATCGTAACAGTATTATATTTGCAATACTACCTATTCGTAATAAAAAATTTAAGTGGCGGCGATATAACATATTTTAGGATTCCCTCTGTTGTCCCACGTGCACAATACTTACTGTACATAATTGTAACTGTTAAATGAGATTATATGAATAGACATTGAAAAGGCACACACTCAAAGATAACAGCGGTGTATAGGCATGCACACGGCAGATTTATATTGTACTAATCTAAACGATGTCGTGCGAGCCGCCCGCGGTAGAGGAGCTCGCACGGGCGGCAAAAGGGGTTAGACGGAGAAGAGTCAACGACCCTGCGGCGAGAGCGACTTACGTTTATTATTATACACGCGAGGTTAATCCATATATCCGGTGCAGCGGGCTGCAAGCGTGAGTGTGCCGCGGTAGGACAGGCCGGACACCGAAGTGCGAGCGCGAGCGGGCGAACCAATTTCACGCGACGGACGACGACGGCGGCGGCGAACAGTCGCACACGCGTAAGCAGACGATACTGAATGTTGTAGTGTCGGCGCCAGCGGTGGACGACACGACGACGACGACGACGGAGCAGCGATTCGTTTTCGAAAAAATCGCGTCCCGGGAACGAAAGAGAGACGGAGACAGATAGATAGACAGAGAGAGAAGTAGAGGGACACACACACACACAGATGAACGGAAAATCTAAAATGGTATGAAAAAAAAAAAAAAAAAATAATAATAATAAATAAATAAATAAAATAAAAATGCCGAGCCGATTTTCTCGCGTTTTTCTTCCACTGTACCGTACGCGCGCGCAGTGGGGTTGCGGTCAGGTGGCGGCCATGACTGCTGCTGCTGCTGTTGCTCTCGTCGTCGGCGGCGACGGGTTCTCGGCGGGTACGACGAGTACAACTGCGCGCGACGTTCGACGAGCAGAGTGGAGTGGCGCGCGCGCCGCCACGTTGGAGAGCGTTAGCCCCCGCGCGCCGGCACCCGCAACACACATAGTACGTATACACGTATAATATTTACGCGCGGCGCGCGCTCGCGCGTGTGTGTATGCGCGCTGGCTGTGGGCTTGGCACCGCGGAGGGGGGCGCGGCTCAGGGGGGGAAGGGTGCGGCGGCGGCGGCGACGTCCCCCACCCCGTGTGCAGCACCGCCCGGAGCGTCGACGAGGGGAACGTCTGCTTTGTAAACGCGCCCGAGCACTCCGCGGGGCCCGCGAACGAGTTAACAACAACGTCAAATGACTCCGATGGCGAAATGGGCACACGTGTTACCCTCGCGCGCACAACTCGCTATATAGCTCACTGCAGGCGCGCACGCACGCGCACAAACGCCGACGGACGGACAGCCCGCCGCCCGCCCGCGACTGCACTGCCGCCCGAGAGTAGGCACATTAACGGAACGATTTAATACATAATAATATAAAATACGCTAGTACGTGTAGAGGAGAGAGTGAGAGAGAGAGAGAGCGTGAGCGAGAACGAGGAGGAGGTCGAACCATCATCGCACCATCGTCATCATCATCATCATCACCGCGCATATTGCACACGTAGGGAAAATCGTCATCATCGTACACGCCGTACGTAACGACATGTTACGATTTAAATACCGCCAGAAACACAAAACGGCGCATCGTTGGCCGTATTATATCATCGTCGACAACGTGCCCCCTTTTTTCGGTACACATTTTAAAAATCTAGGACATTCCTAGAGGTACATACACGTGTCATTTACTAACATGATTACTATTATGTTACACCCAACGTTATTTCCCACGAAGGTTTTCTGAGTTGGTCGTCTTCAAAACGTCACCACTCCCCTCAATCCGCCGTTTTTTTTTCCGTTCTGCCTGTTGCAATTATACGTAGTTAACGTCGGTCGTGAAATCTCAGAAAATTCCATTACACCGATTTCAAGATACAATGCTAGCAGCAATATATGCTGCTCATAATAATATATGCGACAACATACGACACTTTATGTTGTAACATAATATTATACCTATTATCCTTAAAATAGTATATATTTAATTGTAATAATAATAGTAATAGTAATTAAAACAATAACAACATTATAATTACATTTATATAACAATGTTGTTAATGTTTCAATACAGTAAATACAGAAATCACAACGGACAATTGCGCATGACCGCGGAAATACACTTTTGCTAAAATCTAAGAATATTTTGTACTATTTTTATCATATATTCTGAACACCATATCAAACCCATGATTTTTGTTCTTCCGAATACCCACCTACCAATACAATTACTTAGTTACAAGATCGAAAACCTTATCATTATAATATATCGGTTAAATAGTTTATTATCTGTGCCATGTAGGTAATATTTCTTATATATATTGTAAAATATATATAATATGTATAATATATATATTGTAATTATAATCGTATTTGATCGGTTAAAGTATTTAAGGCTAAATATTATATACTAAATAACGGACTTAAAATATTAATCTTTTTTTTTTTTAATTTAAGCACATAATAATATATATTATTACATATTATTTTATGTAGGTACATTGAAAACTAACATATTTCTTCCCTCGAGTACAATAAACATGATGGTAAATAAAAACAGTTATATTTCACATAATATACATCACACAGTAGGTGGTATAAAAACATATGTACATATTTAATAACATTTAATTCAATATTTAATATAATAATTTTTATAATACATTTTGAATTAATGAAAAGTTATTAAGAATTAAAAAAGTAAGTTTTTAAAATTAATTTCGAATTTTAATATAAAAATTAATTTAAAATTTCAGCATTATTGAAATTAAAAGCTCCTTCTTCTAATGTGAGGTTTAAATAACAGTACAAGTATAACATACTGGTGCTAAATTAATTTATACCAAATTTAAGTTTGGATAAAATATAGATTACAAAAACATGTATTAGAATTATATATACAAAATAATAATTGTAACATTAAAATGCATAGTGATAATACAATAATTAATAAATACTTTACTCAAAAACTTAAAACATATTAATGATTTAATATTATTTTTACATTGATTTCAACATAATTATAAATTATATTTTAATGTTTATAAGCTCTAATTTAAGTATTAATAAATTAATTGAATATCTATAGCTATAATAAATACATATACATTATATTTTTAATTATTTTAAAATAAACTAAATGACGGGATATAAGTTTTTAATAAGTAGAATGTTTAGACGTTTTCTTACACTTAAGAAAAAAATTACAATCAAATATTTTTTAAAGGATACAAGGTCGTACAAATATAACATATAGAAATGTTGAGGATGATTTCATTCGTATCTTTCAAGTGCGTTAGAATAATTCAAGTTGTTTTTAACTGTTTGAATAATTTATTAAGTGGTTAATTTGTCGATTGTCATAAGTCAAATGACATATAACAAAGCTTAAAAATACATTAATACAATTTTAAATGTAAACTCATATGAGATTGTATTTACCGATAAATGGGATAATTTAATACATGTCAAGATACTGATAATACATTTTTAATGAATTGATAAAGGAAGAATTACAAAAAAAAAACAAATAATAGGAACTGAATTAAAAGGAAAATAAATCGAATAGATAGATACAATCAAATACAAATACTACATTTTATTATTGTTAAATAAAACTGCCCTCTGCAAAATCAATAGAATACGCCACGAATTGTGGTTGGTCGATCCCTTCTTTTTGGGTAGGAATGTTTTCATACGACATTTTCGCGGTACCCTTTTTAACACCCTTACATATACCCTAACCGACAAAATGGCCGAGCCCCGTTTACCTGCTCTACCAATGGATGTTCGCCAGGCATATACCGTCTGTCTATTGCGCAAGTATTTGGTTAATATATATATATATATATATTATCAATCCAAATCATCAGAGTGAATTTAATATATTTGTATATATACCTACATAATATAAGTTTGTTTGCTACCATATATAACATATAACAACCATTTATTTATAAATTTGCTCATCGAATTAAACTGTTAATTAAGTCAGATAATTTCAAGATTGCAGTAATAATATCCAAACATTTTTATCAATAATAGACTACTAGCTATACAATTATTTTAATCAGTTTTCAAATACTAGTGAATTGGTATTAAAATTTACCTATTGAAACATTAAGCCAAATGATAAATTATACATTATATTAATATTTAATAAAACAAATGAGAAAAACATTTAAACCCCGTATTGATTTTAAATCGCTGAAACACTATTAAGCTTAAGATATAATTACACTAAAATTTATATTTACTATTTATAGCATACAGCGTTTCATAAACACAGTAAAATTATTAATATACATAAATTCATAATAAATACATATAATTTGTATATATGTTTAACATTGGGTACAATAAATGTAATATCAATGATAATTTAAAAAATATAGATGTAATAGAAATAAATTATTGCATAGATTTAAAAAAAATGTACATGATACAAATATGTATACATTATTTTAGAGTAAAGTTAATGTTCAATTACTAAAAAAGCTTAATATAGTAGATAGCAATACGTATTGCTTGTTTTATTTTTTTGTATTTAACAAAAAATATAAGTGTTATTTAACACATAATTTATTCTATGTAATTTACAAACAATTTTATACTTTGTTTAAGTTTTTACAGTTTAAAATATAAAAATGAAGAACTGTTGAAAGTTTCACTATTTAACCAGTTGCAATTGAATGTGCCAAACGATTATGAGTACCGGTAATGACCCTTTAGGCTTGGGCAAAGAACACGCGTGTGTGACCTAAATAGTAATACACGTATTATATTTATTATTAAAGGTATCACTCATCACACTTCGGGATGAAATAATAAATAAACGTACTTGGATAAATTTTAATAAAAATTAAAAATAATTTAAGGAGAAAATCAAAATTAATTGAAATGTGATAATAAAGCAATAATATAACATTTCGTAGCCAAGTAAATATTAAAAATAAAATAAATAAGAAAAAAGCACTGCATAGATATCAGGTGAAGTACGGAGATGATGTGTCCTTAAATTTGAACGGAATAATAGACAACTGCATTATAACAATTATTCTGACCGGATTTTTAAATTACCAAAAATGGTCAAGATTTTATTAAAAACGAGTGGCTAGCATATATTTATATTATCACCGTTTTTCTTGAAAATATCTGTAGTTATATTTTAATATTTACATCTATAAAAAAAAAAAAAAAGCTTATATTTTCAAATAATAGAAGCACTGAATAAAATATTACGAGTATATTTTAATAATTGACTCACATAATATTTCTTTAGCCCTAAAAACAAAAATAATATCCAATACAGCTTCTAAACACTGCTTAGAGCCTAAGAATTATAGTAAAACGACAGGATGAAAATGATAGAAAAAGGGGTGTACCCACTCAGTTAATTACTTATATATTGATAATATTTGCTGTAAACCAATGTATAATTGCATTATTATTACATTAAATTTGTATGTAGCCGGAGTTCTTCATCGGATAAATGTCTAAATTTACAAAGGTAAAAGAAATTGTGATTCAATATTATTGAAACATTAAATGAACTCTTAATAATATAAAAAACAAATTTCAAACCTAAGTTATTATATTATAGTTAAATGTATGCGTAAGATTATTATTGAAATGAGAAATAGTAGTTTTAAATTGCTTTATTTCTAATGCATCAATGACGATGTTTTATATCAAGTTAACATAATAAAAAAGGTAATTTATATTAATTATAACTTATTTTATAATATTTCCTCTAATTGTAACATACATTTTTTTTTTAAATTTTTATTATTTTAAATTACTAAACTGTCGACATGGTTAAAATATATGGACAATCCTATTACATTTAAATAGCGGAGAAA